ATACAGATGTATAATGACACGAAGGCAGCAGAAATCATGATGGCTGATGAGAAAACAGGTCAGCTGCTTTGACTCTGTGCTGATGATAAGAAAAAGATCAAGGTTTGGTTGTTTATAAGTATTTCCCTTCTGGTGGAAAAAATACATGTTTACATTCTGGACTTCCACCAACAGGTTAATAAAAACTTGAGTGAGTCATGTGTGTGTTTTATCGTTTTCATGATGTCCTGCCACGTGAATAAGTTTCTTATCAAAAATTAGTCAATTGTTTCATCACGATCAGCTGTGACAGGTTTTTTTTTTTTGCATAGTAAGCAGACAGGAAGCAAATGTGCACATTTAAAGGTGGATTTTTGTCTTTAAAATATTTAAATTGACTAAATAAAAGAAGTTTGGTCACTTTTTAACCCAAACATGAGGCGGCCATAGTAGCATGGGTGAAAATCAGTTAGATAAATGTGAGCCATAATTTGAAGTCAGATTAGAATATTCTGGGTCACGGTTACATGTTTATCCACCCACTGAGAAACTGGTGAGGCTGCATCATGTGGATATTACAGACGGCAGCAGCTCAGAGAGACAAAGCACTGTTCACAAAAGCTCGGAGTAGACCTGCTACTCCTCCACATCAAGAAGAGCCAGATGAGGTGGCTCGGGCATACAGTTAGGATGCCTGCTGGATACATTCCTGGTGAGGTTTTCCGGGCACGACCAACTGGGAGAAGACATTAAGGAAGACCCAGGACACGCTGGAGGGACTACGTCTCTCAGCTGGCCAGAAAACATCTTGGGATTTCCTGGAGGAGCTGGCCCAAGTGGCTGGGCCTCCCTGCTTAAGCTACTGGCCCACGACCTGGCCCCGCACAAGCGGCCGAAAATAGATGGATGGATGGTAAATGGAGTTTCACTGGCTGGGTCACCGGAGTTCAGCTGCTACAGTCACACTGGGTGAGGTAAGTTATTAAAAAAAAAAGACAAGTTCAGTTTACATCCTTGTCTGTTTGTGCAGCCAACCACGCAGCAAACCATTATCATTTTACTGTGAATTCAGCTAAATAAAAATGATATGAGGGCACAAACGGGCTTGTTTTGACCCTTACAGAAGTTGTAATGTGTGTAAACAGTTTCTCTGCTGTCCATCACGGCAAAGGGGGCGACCACATGAGCGGCATGATGTCACGTGCAAAGGGCCCCGCCAACTCAAAGAAAACAATTGGGAAAGTTTATTGAATTAAAAAATAGGTAGTTATTTCCAGTGGCTTACTGTCTAATATTTTGTGCATAGTTAGTTGAGTGCTTTAATAACACCCAGAAAGGGGATAATGGGGCTTTGGGTTTCAAAAACCAAAGAAGTTTGGTTTGTCTTTAAAACAAGTCTACATATCAGCTGGTGTTACTTTAATCACGTTTGTTGAAACAAGAATTCAAACAGTTTTGTTTTCTGACCTTTCAAGTGACATTTCTCTGCTGGACTTTCCTTCTTCACTGAACTTCAACTGCTGCTCTTTAAAAAAAACGTTTAAAACACGATCAGATGGCAGATCTGTTTGCACCTGGACAGCTAAGCCTTTTACCCGGTTTTCTTAAAGTTCAAATGAAAATATAAATGAATCAAAAAGCATTTATTACTGTTAATAATTGTAATGTGGTGTTTTTAGCTGTACAAGGCCATGCAATCTTCAGAAAAGAATGTTTTTTGGCTCTAAATTGCAAACATCTGTTACAGTGTTTCACTTTTTCCCACTTTCTGTTGCAGTCAGACTTTATCATCTTTACGACGAACCAGGAAATACTAACAATGGAAAACTTGCAAACACATCTTTCAAACAACAATGCCTTCAAGAGTTCGTGGAAACAACGTACAAGCTGCATCCCAGGATGAACTCAGATTGTTCCCAGGGCACAAATAAAAACATCTGGAACCCCAGAGGAAGATGCAGTGCGAACAGATGTTATGATTGTTTAATTACTGAGGAGTCAGCATCTTACCTGCAGCAGAACATCATCAGTGATTGAGTTTAGTGAATCAACTGTAAATTCTGTTTAGAAGTCCAGCTAACAGCGGTTTCAGAACTCATTCAAGTGCAATTTTCATCTAAAATTTCTGAAACTCTAAATTTTCCCAATGTGGAGAAAAAAAAGGCAACGTGAAAACAATTACGCAAAACAAAAGAAGGTGCTCCATTTCCTGCCATTTCGGCCAAGTTTTGCTATAAAAGTTTTGTGATTTTTGTATAATATCATGAAAAAGCCAAACTAGTGATGCGAGTATTTGGAACTTGTTGCTTTATGACTGTAAAGTTCACAGTTCCTGTTCAGTAACCTCATGCTAACCAATCCATTACTTGTTCATTTTGGTCAAAGCAGTTTACCTGAAAAGAATGTTCCAATCGCAGAGCACCAATACAAACACACACAGCTGTACAGAACAGTGCATATCAATATAGAAGCATGATTAATTCATATCCAGCCATACCAGAGCCTTGAGAGCATTGGAACCTAAATGGAACTGTTAGCTAACTTGGTTTGAACTGGGTGCAGGGGTGTCAGCATGTGTGTGTGTGTGTGTGTGTGTGTGTGTGTGTGTGTGTGTGTGTGTGTGTGTGTGTGTGTGTGTGTGTGTGTGTGTGTGTGTGTGTGTGTGTGTGTGTGTGTGTGTGTGTGTGTGTGTGTGTGTGTGTGTGTGTGTGTGTGTGTGTGTGTGTGTGATGAATAAGACAAAACAAAACAGAATGCAGAGATGACACCAAGCTGTCTGGAGTGGGAAGGTACCCCTGCAGCCTCATGGAAAACCACTGTTTTCACAACAAACGCTGCTGATTTCATGGCTGTATGGTTTGATCTGACACCTAAGATAAATGTTAAAGTTTTCACAGAAGAGAACAGTCAAGATGAAAGATAAAGTTATCAGGATGTGAATGTGCATACGGAGAATCAGCTACAGCATTTCCATGAGGTCATGCGCGTGCTTGTAGACTAGTTTAATGAAAATGTAAACAAAATGACCTTGTCATATTGCCTTGTGTGCATCAGGAGATAAAGATAATAGCAAGATTAGTGCTTTTTGTGTCAAAATTACCTGAATGTTATGAGAAACCTGCTTCCTACAGAAGAAGTTTAAGCTCTCTAGAACATCTATCACCTGTCTGACTCTTGTTCTGTAGCACCTGACAGATTTTTTTTTTCAAATAAATAATCACATTAAAAGCCTGAAAACACAATATAATAAGCTTTTAAGTGCAATGTCCTTGATGTGAAAACTCATCAAGTTCCTAAATTTTTAATCCAAATTTTTTTCTAGAAATTTTACTTTTTTTCATTTATAAACAAAAAGTTTAAAAAAGATACCTGATGTATCACACAGATGATAGTGCCAAGTACTAAAATAAAAAAAATAACTACAATAATAATTGTTTTTTCAAATTTAAAAGTTTAGAAAAACTTTTTGACCAATAAGGAAAATTTTACTTTTTAAAAATTGCTTTCTTCATGAAAGTTTTCATGTTATGTTTGAAAGAGATACTTTGTGTCAAACTAAAATGACACTTAACATTTTTACATGAGAAGTGTATGGGGGTGCTAGTCGTTAAGAAAATGAAAATGCTCTATTTTATTATTTTTAGAGTTATGTTTTTAAATGTTATCAATTGTGATCAAATCAACATCAATTATTTAAAGTTAAATCTAAATATTTAGAACCAAATCTAAATAAGTAGATTCAAATCTAAAATGTTTAAATCAATCTAATGATTAAGGAATATTTCTAAATACATTTTTAGATCTAAATATTTAAAATTAAATCTCAATAAAAACAATTTAAAAAAATCCTAATCAAATCTTAATGCATACATTTTCATGTGATTCTTTGGAATAAGTGGGTTAGAAAGTGAGTGAGATCTAAATATTGAGAAAAAATCTTAACACTTGAAGTAAAATCTAAATATTTTTAAATTAATAAAAAATATTTTACGGTAAACTAAATCTAAATATGGAAATTTTGATATAAATATTAAGAACTAAATCTTAACATGTAAACGTATTTACAATAGAAACGTAAATTTACAAATGATAATGAACCTTGAGCAAAACATTTAGGATTTAATCAAAATAAATGGAATCAAACCCATATATTTGAATACATTTTGAATATAGAGTCAAATTTAAATATATTAAGTTTTATTTAACTATTTAGAACTAAAATTCTATATATAAAGTAAGATTCAAATATTTAGAATTCAATCTAAATGTTTGAGATCAAATCTAAATATTTTAAGTTATTTCAAAATGTTGTAATATTAATTAGTAGTCATAGTAGTTAAAAACTACTGACATTTTACTTCAGGCTTCCACAAAATGCAAGTTACTAACTGAATTGAATGTGGGGTTAAGAGACCTGGGACCCTACCTAATGCCTTAGAGTCTGGGTTCTCCCTTCACATGGATAATCGGTCCATGGTTGAACAAACTCACACAATCGTACCATCAAAGAGACTCTGAGGCATTAGATCGGGGATTTCCTAACCCTGCCTTTAGCTTAGTTGGCTACTTTTGTTTAAATAAGTCTGAATTTGAGCGTTAACTAAATAATTGGTTTAAACCTACCATATTTATCTTACATAGAAAAGATTTTTGTTTATTCTGATTTGAATCAAATATTTAAACGTTACTGTTTCGGCATATTTTCAATCCTTTAGACATGGCATTGTAATTTCTTCAATAGTGAAAAGGTGACTTTTTAAAAGTTTTATTGTTATGAGGAGCTAAATGTGACAAATAAATATATTACTTCACAGTCAGAGATGTTCCCTTTGTTCAGTTAGTAGTCTCATAATTTGAAACCTCAGCTTATCTTTATGCAACATTTGTCCAAGCAAAGTTGTGCAGACAGAAAAGTTATGCTATTTTGATTAAAACACCCAAACTAACAGTTTTTAGACTGAATCAGAGGGAAGACACTCAGGTGATCAGAGAGAGGGAGGAGTGGAGGAAAGGAGGAAGGAGGAGGAGGCGAGTCAGAGTATAAAGCCCAGCCGCTTGGCTTCAGCTGATACAGATGCTCAGATTTTCGACACACATAGATATCTCCTCTCACGACTTGTAGATCCTGTCGACCCGCTGAAAACAACAACATGCTTCGACGGTGAGTGGATGCCTGAGATTAGTTTTATCAACTTTATCATGACTGTTTATGACTTTTCTGAGTTTAAAATAACAAAACAAACGCTGTGTCACAGTCGTTTGCCCATCCCTAAAAGTTGATCGTCGAGGCGTGTGGGAACCTTGCCTCCACCTATTAGCTCACAGTGTTCTGCTCCAGGAAGTTTGAGTTCTTATGAGTCATCATCAGTCTCGTTTCCTTTTGATCTTTTCTTTCTTACTGTTTTTATTTCAGAGTCAGGATTTGAACTATGAAAACACATAAAATAGCCAATTAAAGAAGCTCATGTTTAAACAGTCTACCACTGAAGTGAAACATTTCGACCAAACTTATTTTTGGAGTGTAAGTCTCAACTGCTCTATGTGAATTTGCTTGTATTCTGACTTTTTAGGGATTTGTGGGGTCTTGAATAAAATCAACCGAAGGAGCATTCTTCTCATTGAAAACTCAACTCCATTAATTAAGCTAAAAGCATTTCCATGTCTTTGAACATCTGAGCTGGTTTTCTATTTCTCTCTATACGTTGGAAAAGAAGGGGCGCTTTGTTGGGGTCCCCCCCCCACCCCCCCCACCCCCACCCCCCCATTCCTCCTTTCTTCTGTAGGGAAACACAAAGACGCAGTCATACAAGCCTTCAGGCTGAAGGATGAGAACATACCTGAGATTTACCCACTGATAGCTTTTCTCAATGTTATTTAAATTATTTACCTCTTTAGGACCTTTAAATAACCAGCAAACCCTTCAAAAATCTTAAGAATTAATACCTTTATGGCTAAGAAATCAACTATTTCAATTTTTTTGACATAATATCTTAATTATATTTTAAAAAATCAGTTTATTTTTTAATTATCACAAAAGTAAAACAGCATTCAAACATGCTGCAGTCAAATCAGCTTGATCCTTTTGCATTAGAATCATTCTAATTTGCTTGCATTTGTTTCTAGGTATGTTGTGTTGCTGCTCTGTGGCCTCGCCACTGTCTCTCTGGCAGCGCCAGTCCATCGTAAGTCATGATGTCATCACCAACACCCTGTTTTATGCTCTCACTAAAGTCTGATCAACTGTACTCACTCTGGGATAGAAATTAAGACATGTCTAAACAATAAAATAAGTCGCTTACATGATTTTTTTATTGTAGTGAATGTCGCATCGTTAAAATAAAATGTATCAGTTGAATATTAGCAGAATTTAATTATTAGCTATTCGGGTATTTCTAAACAAGCAAAATTATTGTTTAAATATTTTGATTTTTTCATGAAAAAAACATCTAATATAAATTCATTTTTATTCTACAGAGGATGTCGCCGGAGATGGTAAATATCAGTAATAAATTAACCATTTTGCTGTATTTAAGTAATTTACATCATGATTCATTTATTCATAAAAAAAACTTTAAAGCATAGTTACCGCCCCCTACAGTCTGCAGGTGTTATTGCTTTTGCTGTATTTATACCATTGTTTTTTCTGTAGAAAGAAGCGAAGCTCTTCTGGAAGACCTGAATGGTACACACACACACACACACACACACACACACACACACACACACACACACGCATGCACGCACACACGCACACATACACACACACACCTTTTATTAGAAAAAAGAAAGCAGATAGGTAACATTCCTGTTTGCCTTTTGTTTGCAGACATCCTCCTTTGTGTTTATATATATTTAGCATTTGCTGGTTAATTACAGATATTGTGTCTTTTCTTTTCTTTGTTTTTGTTATTAAACTGGCTTAGATGACCATGGCACAGAGATATCTTTAAGCAGCACTGAAGGTGAGATAAAGATTTTATGTGTGGCAGTCTAATGAAATCAAGAGAATATTATAGCTCTATTTCTTCTTCTGTGATTGTATATTTATAATTACTTCACGTACAACCAAACCAACACTCTGTGCAAAATATTGTTTATTTTCATTTTAAGGTGAGTTTCTGCTTAAGCACTATGAACAATGATAATTTTCACTGTTCTAGAAGGTTTACTAAATGACCTTTGTATGGAAAAATTGTTTTTACATTCTGAAGAACTGATAAGTTAACAACCAGCCTGAGCAAGGCCAAGACAAAAGTGTTCTGCTATTGTCCTAAAACAGTTAAAATCAAAGTTGTATAGCTGATTAAAGCAAATACTGTTTTAGAAATCTTACAGTTGAACAAAAAGCAAAAACCTCAATTTTCTGATAAAGGACAAGCACCTCTATCTGGTCTCGACCCAAAGAAAAGCTCAAGTCTAAATAGTCCACAGTTGATGCCAAAGTTGTTTCAAATGAGCCACCCCTATCTTAGTTGTTCTGATCGATCACATAATCCACTCCACCACAATGATTGACCCATCAATCCATTAGAGCGCTGTGATTGGCCAACAATACTGACAGAGCGCTTTTATTGGCCCACCAAACAGATCGAGTGCTGCAATTGGCTCACCAAACCATTAGAGTGATGTGATTGGCTCACCAAACTTATAGAGCGCTGTGATTGGCCCAATAAACAGATAGAGAACTGTGATTGGCCCACTAAACCAAAAGAGCGCTGTGATTGGCCCAATAAACAGATAGAGAACTGTGACAGGTCCACTAAACCAAAAGAGTGATGTGATTGGCTCACCAAACCGATAGAGCGCTGTGATTGGCTCAATAAACCGATAGAGTTCTGTGACTGGCCCACTAAACCAATAGAGTGATGTGATTGGCTCACCAAACCGATAGAGCGCTGTGACTGGCTCAATAAACCGATAGAGAACTGTGATTGGCCCACTAAACCAAAAGAGCGCTGTGATTGGCCCAATAAACAGATAGAGAACTGTGACTGGTCCACTAAACCAAAAGAGTGATGTGATTGGCCCACTAAACCAAAAGAGCGCTGTGATTGGCCCAATAAACAGATAGAGAACTGTGACTGGTCCACTAAACCAAAAGAGTGATGTGATTGGCTCACCAAACCGATAGAGCGCTGTGACTGGCTCAATAAACCGATAGAGCGCTGTGACTGGCTCAATAAACCGATAGAGTTCTGTGACTGGCCCACTAAACCAATAGAGTGATGTGATTGGCTCACCAAACTGATAGAGCACTGTGATTGGCTCAATAAACCAATAGAGTGCTGTGATTGGCCAACAAAACTGACAGAGCGCTTTTATTGGCCCACCAAACCGATCGAGTGCTCTGATTGACCCACTAAACAAATAGAGTAATGTGATTGGCTTACCAAACTGATAGAGTGCTGTGATTGGCCCACTAAAGCAATAGAGCGCTGTGATTGGCCCACTAAACCAATAGAGTAATGTGATTGGCTTACCAAACTGATAGAGTGCTGTGATTGATTAGACATGAGACTGGTCTGGACTGCTGAGGCTCTAATGGAGCATGGCAAGACCAACATGCTTTGGCTAGTGTCTGTTTAGATGTCTAGGCTAGCATTCAGTGGTAGTTTACATAACATTTTTATGAATATCAAAAGCAGTAGCACATTTTCTTTGACATGTCGTGCAAACTTAATGTTGGTTTAAAGATTGAGAAAATAATATTCACATAAACCACTGAAAATGTTAGGAACCTGATGCTTTGTCTTTTTGGACAAGCTCATTTATTTCTTTTTAGCTTGGGCCCACATTCAAAGTGTATTGCTTTTATCTTGTTTTTTTTTTTTATTATTCCTTTCAATAGTGTAAAAGTTTTAACCTCCTGGTACCCAAAATTTTGTTTGGTATGCAATTTTTTTATTTCTCCTTATGAACAATAACAGTAATATAGAATAACCACTCTAAGATAAACAGACTAAGATTTTATAGTGCAAGAAGACAACGTCCACACAAAAGTTTTACGAGGAGTTAAGTTAGTTCCGTGAAATGCTGTAAATTTTTGGATATTTTAAAACGGCAGCAATGCATTCTGGTCTTGGCTGGACTCAGATTAGCTATTAGCTAATCACGTGTAGTCTTGTAAACTCCATTTCTCCAAACTGAGGCCATTCAGTGAGGTAACTACAAATGGGCGAGAAAATAATTTCTAATATTACAGAGAAATACAACAAAATTGGAAAAACGTTTCTTCAACAATACCTTTGGAGCCTTTTTTAGGCTGAACAGCTTTTTGCTGCTTCTATTCTATTCTATTCTATACTATTCTATAGTGACTAAGTTGTATGACCAATTTATTGATCATTTTTACCTGGGGAAAATACGTTATGAACCTTTTGAAAAAACTTCTGTTACATATTTATTTTCAGCTCTTTCGGAATCAGACGAGTCCACTCCCTCGCCAGGTATCTGATTCAGCTGACTAATCAATAAATGTATTGTTCCACAGTTGATTCACACAATGTTTTATTTTTCTGAAAAAAAATTCATTGTATTTATATATATATTTGGTCTCATTTAGGTGAACCAGACATTGATGAAGAAACTTCTGAAATAGAGACGCCACAAGGTGAGACAAAGTATAAATCACTTACAAATTCACCTCACGGCTGACCTGCTGATCTGTTCCCTTCCACAGAACAAGAGAACTCTGAATCACAAGGTGAGTTTTTAATTATTATTTCATCTTACTTGAAAATTTGTATTCATTTAAAATTTAAAATGTTGCAAATTCTCGCTCTATTTTCCTAATGTACATTTGCTGAGTTCAATTCTTAATCCTGTTATTTTTGTTGGTGAAATTAATCAGACACCAGCGATGGAGGAACTTCCAACATGGACAGCTTGGACGGTGCGACAAAGAATAACTTCTTTTATTTACTTTGCGAAAAGAACAGAACATCCTGGACTCACTCAGCAAAACCCTGGACCCAGAACCAGTAGAACTCTTTACACACACGTCCACACCCACTAATTAATGTTTAAAGACTAACTGTAAAGATCTCCAACTGAAAAGAGAGCTTAACTTATAGGATCACACCCTTAACATCAACATCCTTTTGCACATAAAGGAATAAATAACTATAACAACAAAGGCATTTTTTTATTATTTGTTTAAAATTAATTATTTAAGATTGAAATCCTAAAGATCAAACGCAGATCATACTTCAACACATTTTGCAGTAATTTTAGTGAAACATCATAAAAGAATATTAACATTCCTGTTTCCATTAGAGTCCACAGATGCTACAGATGATAACCAGGGTGACTCGGATGACCTCTTGTCAAAAACAGAAGGTAACTCTTCATTTTGTTTACTTGTTTATGTCTTTGTCCATTAAAGAAGACCCTGTCTGCTCATCTGTGGTTGTAACTGCTTTTATGTTGCAGATTCTGAGACAACTGAATCACAAGGTAAATGTGCTTTTATTTTTGCAATTTGGTGAATTATTAACTTCTCAGATTTATAATGTATTCCATTGCATAATTTAATCAATGTAAAGAGCAAAGAAAATATTGTAATTTTAAAATAGAAGTTTGCAACAAAAGTTTTTGTTTTGTACACCAACAAGATGAAGAATTTTTGCAGAGTGAAAAAATTCTAAACAATAGTTTATGAACTAATAAAAATGTGCCCGTAGTATAAAACTTTTGAGCAACCTAATGAAAATTATTCTTATTAGCTGTCAAAAGCATTAACCATTAAAGATACAATATGTAGGAATTTTATTGCCCAAAAATTCCAATGGCTTGCTGTGTGGTCATTAAAGTAATCTGAAAACAGTCTATGGTCTAAAGCATGTAGGAAGGAAGGTTGCACTGAAACAGACCTCATTCTCAGTCGGCTGTCAGTTTGTTTTCTTTCAAAATGGCCAAAGAGGGATGTAGTGTTTGTTTACAATCTGTGAGCCCGCGGAGTTGCAGAGTTTGCACCAGCTAGTGCTGCCGCGTTTGCATTTGTAATTCGACACTGGCTAACAAGATGCAGCAATATTTTGTAAAGAACTAAGCCGGTAACAGGAGCGACCCAGAAGTTGTTCCTTGTACCACTAAGAAATTACTACATCTTTTTGTTTGACACTAATATCAGATAAAGAAGGCTAGAGGCTAATTTTGAGCTAACTTTAAGCTGACAATGCTACTGGTGAATTAGAAAAAATTGTCAGATCTAAAATTATCTCAAGCTACTTTTTCATCTACCAACACCTTTATATTATAAACTTACTGTGTATGACTCATTTTCACTCGACATCTAGAATCCTCTGGAAGTGAGCCATAGCTGGCAAAAGCCATGAAACTCACAGAACAGGAGAGAGAAAGTTTGTTGTGCAAATGGGATACAGTAACCACATTTAACCACAGGTTGACATTCGTACTTCATTTTTACATCAGCCACCATTAAACCCCCATGTGGGGGGATGTTTAGGCTGTTAGTGTAAATTCAACTTCATGTCAGTAATGAAACAATATTAATATGAATATTGTCATTAGACTCCACAGATCAGAGCACCAACTCTCACCAAGAAACTGAAGATAACCATTTTGTTCATTTTACCTGCTGATGTCTTCACCTGCTTACATACCTGCCTGCTCACCTGTCTATGTGTTTACCTGTGTTTGTGTTTCAGATTCTGACGACCAGAGTGACTCATCAGGTTGGTGAACATTTAGAGTCATTGCAGCTAATAAAACTGCTGCATATCTAGTAAAAATGCATTTTTTCTTTAATTTGATGGATGACAGCAACCAAACCGATGGTAAGTGCTCTGCTCACCAGTCCCAAGAAACTTAAGACTTTGTAACTGTGCCTCTCAAAAGCAAAGAGAAAAGTGAGAATGTGTTGAGAGTAATATCAAAATGTCGAGGAATAAGGCCTAGTCCACACGTAGCCGGGTTTTTTTAAAAACGAATATCCGCCCCTCCAAAAACTTGCATCCACACCACCTTGTTTTAAAAAATAAACTCTGTCCACACGTACCCGGATAAATACGTTGTTAAGGACATGCCAGACCTGTAGGCGGCAGTACTTCCCCCGTTCTTAACCTCGTCCTTCATCTGTGGTCTTCCGCAAGGAGCAGTATTTCCGCTTGCAAAAACAAACAAGCAAAAAGCGCTTGGACAATTGATAAAGCGAGCGCAGCTCTGAGGGCGTCCATGCTGTCGGCTAGTGTAAACACAGGTCACACACGTGATGTCAGCATTTTTTGTCGCGGAAAGTGACGTTGCGGACCTTAAAACTCCGGTTTTGTCCGTCCACACGCAGACACCCAAAACGGAGAAAACGCAGATCTTCACTTTGGCCGGAGTTTTTAAAAAGATCCGTTTTCGTGTGAAAAAACTCCGTTTTCGTGTGGATGACAGGCCAAAACGTAGAAAAATATCTACGTTTTGGCAGATCCCCGGCTACATGTGGACAGGGCCTAAGTCAAAATGTTCAGAAAACAAGAAAAAAATTCTTCTGTTTTTTTTTTGTTTGTTTTTGTTCAATGAGTTCTGGGTTTGATTTACCTAAATAAACTAGGGTTAGGGTTAGATTACAAGATGGAGGCTTTCAACTATTTCTGTGGCAGCGTCCAAGTCAAAGAACTTCCTTTAGCCCTTCACAATAAGTCCAATATATACACAATAGTTCAACTTGTAAAATAGTCTTGTTTTGTTTAATGACGCAGCATCAGTGCTTCCTTTTAGTATACTATCTGATCACTTGTTTATTTTTTTTTTACCTGTGTGTGCATTTCAACTGTACCAGAGTCAGTGGAGAAAAGTGACGAATCAGGTGAGTTTTTCTTTTTTCTGCAAGTTTAAATAATTGTTTACTTTTCTAGTATAATGTATTCTTTATATGTTTTAGATTTGAAATGTTAAATTGTGTTTTTTTGTATTTTTTTTTTGTGACAAAGAGAATGTCTGGCTGGATGAGCAAGGTGAGAGAACAGTGACAACAGAAGGACATCAATATGGTCAAGTTACTGGTCATTTCTTTCTAAAACCCACTTGTATGTTTTTCTTTCATTCCTCAGAGTCAGACACAGATGAACAATCCTGTGAGTCTCAAGATCAACTTAGAATGTTTTCCAAAAAAATTCTACTTTTATTTTCCATTTTGAAAAAATGCACCCAGTTCCTGGAATGTCACATAATTATTGATCGTTTGTTTTTATTTTTCTCTAAGCTCCTCCTGAAGGCAGCGACACCCCCTCAGGTCAGATTGTGTGTGTGTGTGTGTGTGTGTGTGTGTGTGTGCGTGCGTGCGTGCGTGCGTGCGTGCGTGCGTGCGTGCGTGCGTGTGTGTGTGTGTGTGTGTGTGTATTTAAGATGTCAATTACAGCCTAAGTGAAAACCAGCATGTATTTACCAAAACTAATGCTGAGAATAAATTAAAGCAATATTTCATGTTGAGTGGCCCTGAAACACCATGATAGGTTTAATTGAAAAGATAACAAACTTTTAAAATCTGATATGCTAGGTTGCTTTATCAATGATCTCCTTTAGAGGAAGCAAATTCTTTTTTTACATTTTGACAAGCTAACAGCTAGTCACAGTAGGACTGGTTCCAAACATTTGTGCCATCTATAAGCGTGTCTAATTTAAAATGTTCAAACTATTTAATTTTAGTTCTATTGATCATCAATATTTTCTGCATTACAGTCATTTCCATTGAATTCTCATTGATTGTGAAGTAATTAGCCATGGAGCAAGCTACTTTGCAGCTCAATGTGTTGGAATGTCATGATATGTTTGCCAAAATCATCATGTAATGTGAAACTGTAAAATCGTGTTTTCATACACCACTATCGCATTTTAGTGACTAGAGTGAGTTTTAAACAGAAAATTTGTTGGGATTAGCCAGTAGCTTGTCTGGTTGGTCGTAACTCATCTTTATTTCTCCAAACTAAAGCCATTCAAAGAGCCATCTATAACCAGTAAAATGTTTATTTTTTCATAACTCAAATTCTGAAATCAATTCAAATTACTTGAATTGTGTTTTTACCCATATTTGGGAATCATAAGGCTGTTTTATTGGTGAAATGTTATTTTTATTCTACAGAGACCAATGAGTCCTATGAAATGCTCGAAGGTAATCAATCATGTTGTGTGTGTATGTGTGTGTGTGTGTTCCGTCTGTTTATATTTTTGTTAAAAAAAACTGTGAAACTAATTTCACATCTCAGAAGCCTTTAAAATAAACCTGCTGTTTGTATTTCTGTTTTATTTAGATGTGAACCAGAGTCAGGAAGAGAGTGATGAATCCAGCTTAGGTAAATATGCTCTGGATTCACTCACAAGCTGTCTGATATAAACTTTTCATGTCACTAAGTAAATAGATTAATCAAAAAACTAATCATGTGATGGTTGTCAGCACATTTGTGTAACAAAATCTCTCTCCTTGTCCAACATGGTTGATTTTACAGAAAACTCTGACATATCCGAGGGTAAGTGTATTTTTATTCCTCCTTCATCGACCTCTGGTTTCCTTCTTCCTTCTTCATTCAAGTGTCACATCTCAGAAGAGATAAAAGGCAGGAATGAAGAATTAAATGGATGATTATTGAATGTTTTTCCTCGCACAATAAATCGGAAGTTAAAATGTCTGATTGGTGAAAATCCAGCACAGGTGTGACATGTTTTAAAACATTAAAATCCGTGTTTTCGGCTCTAACATCCTTACTATAGTTTTGTCTTTCCCTCCCTTTAGACTTTATTAATTCACTTATATGCTGTCAGACTACAAAAATGATTCAACTCTCTGTATGCCCTATATTTGAACTGCTTTAAATTTACTAATTTATGCTCATAGGAATCATCTAAAAAAAGTGAAAGTAATTAAAATAATCATACGGTTTTGTCAAACGTTAATTTGGGTTATTTCCATAGATGACTCATTTAGTCTAAATGGAAAGTCAGTGTATTATTACTGCTGAAAATGGATCCAATAAAACTGTTGACATATCTAATTAAAGCTGCTAAAGCGAATCAGCAAACAAGCTAGGTTTCTTCACTGGTCCCGCGTTCACTGGAACAGGAACCCGCATTGCTGAAAACGAAAGAGTGCTAAACACCAGTCGCCATTTTCTGGGCCCAAACGTCTTTTATCGTCTGTGACTTCAAATGTTCTTTTTCATGACTCCAGTAGTTTCTAAATTAAAATGACATCAAAAACAAAAATTTAAAGCTTTTATTAATTTTCTAATCTGTTTCAGATTCTCAATTGTTAAGATTGGCTGCTTGCTTACCATTTGAGTGTGCAGGAAACAGCCGTTTCTTCCTTTATCTTATTTTTAAATATTCTACACAAAAGAACTGATGCATGATTGGTTGACAAGAAATTTGAAGAATGGGACGTTTCTTCACCTTTGAGACTTATGGTTTTGAAAAAGGCCAGTGAGCTGATTTTAAATGGGCACAAATAATATTTTCATTTATTTAGATGATATAATCCACCCAGATCATTTAACCTTGTGGAGAAACACATCTGAAAAGCTCTTTTTTTTTTCATAATTTTTCTGAATGGTGTGAAGCATTGTTGATCCCAGATGTTCCTGATCCAGTAGATTCTCATCAGCCCTTGCAACTTTATGAACTGTGGGTTTCTTAAGGATACATTTTAAAGCCCATTGAGAATATTTGCTTGAGTGACTAATTGGCTGTATGAGATTATTATATAACATTTTTTATATTATGCATTATAACAATCAGCATTGTTATAATAGGCTTCTCTTCTCTATCTGTGCACATGTGATTGTGCATGTGTAAGTTTTTTTATTTATTGTTGTTTTTGTTTTTTTGCAATTGTGATCTTTTTGTCTTGTGTTTTTGGGCCCTTGTATGATCTTGTTCATTCAGTTATCGCCTAAATCCCATTCCCGTAGGGGAGAACTGAGACAAAGATCAAAGGGTAAATTGAGAGTTTTGCTTTGTGGCTTACTCCTTTACTGCAAGAGACCGGTTAAGCATCACTGCAAACACTGCCCCAATCCGCCTGTCCCTCCTTCCCTCACTCCCTAATAAGACCCTGAGGTAGCTCCCCCACTTGAAATAGGCCCTCACCCCAACCTGAAATTGGCTATACAAATCTGGCTGCAAGAAGATGAACATCATAGCTTGACATTAATAATTAATAATTAATACATTATCCATCCTCTTGGGGAAATTATTCTCTGCATTTGAATAACCTTTGGAAGAGTGGGCTGTTACCTGTACATTGCTGAAAGAACATCTTTCAAGGTTTGGTATCTTTGGGATCGAACTACTCCCTCTGTTCAGCCATGGTGGCCCTTGATGGAACTAAGGCCTAGTCCACACGTAGCCGGGTTTTTTTTTAAAATGAATATCCGCCCCTCCAAAAACTTGCATCCACACCACCTCGTTTAAAAAAAAACTGTCCACACATACCCGGATAAATACGTTGTTAAGGACATGCCAGACCTGTAGGCGGCAGTACTTCCCCCGTTCTTAACCTCGTCCTTCGTCTGTGGTCTTCCGCAAGGAGCAGTAATTCCTCTTGCAAAAACAAACAAGCAGAAAGCGCTTGGACAATTGATAAAGCGAGCGCAGCTCTGAGGGCATCCATGCTGTCGGCTAGCGTAAACACAGGTCGCACACGTGATGTCAGCATTTTTTGTCGCGGAAAGTGACGTTGCGGACCTTAAAACTCCGGTTTTGTCTGTCCACACGCAGACACCCAAAACGGAGAAAACGCAGATCTTCACTTTGGCCGGAGTTTTTAAAAAGATCTGTTTTCTTGTGAAAAAACACCGTTTTCATGTGGATGACAGGCCAAAACATAGAAAAATATCTACGTTTTGGCAGATGCCCGGCTACATGTGGACAGGGCCTTAGAAAACCAAATCATCTGAAAAAAAGCAAAAAGGAGAGCCTCCTGTCACCAAACTCTTCCCCCTCCACCTCACGGTTGCATCTAGAAATTTTGTTGATAAAGGTAATGAACAGAATTGGTGACAAAAGGCAGCCCTGGCAGAGTCAAACCCTTACTGGTAAAACGCTTATTCCTTTGTGCTTGTACTGAATGGCCTTTAATACAGGGCCATCCACCCCATACTCCCTGAGTGCCCTCCACAAGGTGCCCCTTGGGACATAGTCATGAGCCGTCTCCAGATCCACATTAGCTGCGATCCCATTAGGAGTTCCAGGAAATTTGGGGGGGGGGGGGGGGGGGGGGGGGGGGTGAAAGTGACAGGGAAAAGTTGCTGACTCGGTTCTCTTTGCCATTGTGTCTACAGTCGAAATCAGTCCTTTCAGAACTTTGCCGTCAACTGACGTTTGACTGTGACGTCAATTTTGCGACTGTTTCAGCGGTGACTGACATCACTGAAGGGTGCCGAAACACATCCATGGACATTGATAACATTAAAAAAGCTTTTATTCTATCTAAGTACGCCATATTTTAATCTATTCAGGGGACCAGGAGAGCAGCAGTGTGATGTAAAATGCAGCAGTTAATGACCAGAGAGAATCTGTTTTTAATGGGCTCTGTTGGAGACCACAAATTGACCCAAATTATGGCTTTGTAGAGGGATTTCTGTCTAATTTTATGATGTTGGGAGTTTAGAAATGGCATTTATGCCAGCAACTCTTCCAATTTTACAAATTGCAGTTGTTTGGTGGTCTGCTGAAGTAATTTTCTACTGAGTTGCAACCAATCAGCATGAGTTAACCACAAGCCCCACCCAGCAAATCTATCGAGCCATTCTGAGGACATACCCAAGTTCAAGTACTCGGTTGAACCCTGAAATGGCCTGGAAAGTGGCCTGCCCAGAGAAATGAAGACACAAGAATACCGTAAATAAGATTACCCAGAAGTTTTGACAATGGAACTGTGTGGTTTGGTAAACTCATATCACCTTTACCGAACCCTAGCATGTGTAAATAGCTGTTCCAGGGTTCCACAGCTAGAATAAAACCCACATTGCTCCTCCTCAATTGAGATTCAGCTACCGACTGGACTCTCCCCTCCGGCATCTTGGAGTAGATTTTACCAGTGAGGCCAGTGAGTGTGATCCCTACCTTGCAAACGGTCAACGTCACATGGACGTGTAGATCATGTCTATATTGAGTTCGTCTGTCCAGACCACGTCTGTAGGACGTCCAAACTAGGTCTTTGCACATGTGGGTATAGTTGGAACACACTCTTTGGTCTCTTTCTTAAAAATGAGGACCACCTCCCAAGTCTTCCACTCCACAGGCCTCACCCCTGTTGTCCACACAGTGTTGCAGAGGGGTGTCAACCAAGACAGTCCTACAACATCCATAGCCTTGAGACACCTAGGATGGATCTTTTAAACCCCTGGAGCTCCACCATTGCTTAGATGTTTCATTGCCTTTGTGACTTCTGCTCCAGGGACTGGTCGATCCACCACTTTGTCCCACAGCTCTGTTTTGTCACTGGAATACATTTAGTTGGGAATTGAAGAGCTATTCAGCATATTCCTTTCACTGTCCATCTACATTTTCTGTCAGCAGCTCCCCGTCTACACTTTAAACAGTGTGTGTTTGTTTCCGCCTTTCCCCCTGGAAACGCAGATCAGTTACCACCATATTTAAAATCTGAAAGTTAGTCTGTTAATTGGAAAATGTACCAAAGGTCATTTCGAGGATTTGGACAAGCTCTTATATACATTATCCATTTTTGATCCACAGATTCTGAGGACAATGATGCCAATTCATCAGAACCCTCTGAAGTTAGAGGGTTGGATGCAGATCATTTTTCTGAGGATCTGAAAACAAGCGAGAAAGAAGAGCAGACAGACGAGCCCGATTTACCAGAAGACCCAGAGGAGCCAATTACCGAGGACTCAAGTTCTCCAGAGCAGTCAGAGGAGCTTCAATCAACAAAAGAGATTCAGGAGCAGTCTGAGGAGTCCAATGAGTCTAAGGTGTCTGATGCAACAGAAGAGTCTGATGAGTCCAATGAGTCTAAGGTGTCTGAGGTGTCTGATGCCACAGAAGAGTCTGAGGAGTCCAAAGAGTCTAAGGTGTCTGAGGTGTCTGATGCAACAGAAGAGTCTGATGAGTCCAGTGAGTCTAAGGTGTCTGAGGTGTCTGATGCCACAGAAGAGTCTGAGGAGTCCAAAGAGTCTAAGGTGTCTGGGAAGCCTGAAGATGAAACATCAGAGGTTAATCAGGGAAATTATGAAGAGAAGGCTAGAAGACAAGAATCAGAGATGATTGACAGTGAAAGTGACAGCGATGATGATGATAGCACGATAAAACACCCTGGTCAACATCCAAATTCTGAGGCCACCGACGAAAAGGATGACAGCCAGGACTCTGACAGTGATGAGATCAGTACAGCAGTACCCACAACTGCACACCCAACTTTACCCTCAACTGCAGGTAAAAAGTAACGGCTGAAGGGTCAAGATGCCCCTTTACAGAAAATAAAGAATTTTTAAAATCTGCACAGATTGAGAGAAAAAAGAACAAAAAGATTTGAGAAAATAATCAAAAATTGTTATTTTTTGTTTCAAAATATACATAACATTAGAGTTAGTTAACATTACAGGTCAAAAATTTATTTTTAGATTAACATGCTAAAGGTGGGCAGCTTTTGTTTGTAATTTTTCACAGGAAGTGTCCGTTTTCTCTAAAATATTAAGGAACTATTGTAGCCATTTCAAAGTGTAATTCTGTGTAAAAGTAAAAAATGATAATACACAGTTATGTTTCCCGAGAAGCCTCTGCACAGAGAAATAGATCTTACATGACTGATGAGCTAACAGCTACTTCAAACCAGCCAATATCAAATGTTTTTGCCACCATCTTGTTACCATGCAAAAAAAGTGTCTGAATGCTAATTAAAGTTGTAACAGAGATGCTAATGAGTCACTTCTTGTTGCAGTGCCAACTCCACCCCCTGACACTAAGCCCCCCACCATCCCAGGTAGTAAAATCCTTCTCACTGTGATGTGGATCAGAAAAACACATTTTTAAAACTTTGAAAATTTGAATTTCTAAATATATATATTTTTTCCAATAGCTTAAGAAGCGCAGCCTCTGAACTGTGGATGCTCACCAACAGGTAACCACACTTTGTCTCCTTACTCAACACTAGAGTTTTAAATTTAAACAATAAAAATAAAAATTTAAAAAAATCAGTTCCATTTCATTTCATTTAAAGGCGCAATAAGTAAGAATGAAGCAGGAGCGACATCTTGTGGTCAAATTAGGTTACCGCAGCTCATTTTTATAAATAAAAGGTTACTTTCTCACCATCGTTCTGTGAATGTCATGGCTGTTGTCAGTTACAGATCAGTGCCAAAAGATTATAGATGACAGTCGAAAATGAGTCATACACATTTGATAAGTAGATAATACATTGTCATAGCTGCTGTCAGCACTCTTGGGTGTTTTACAGTAATAAGCACTTACTACACTTATTTACCATAATATATTACCAGTATTAGAGGAAGTGTGGTTGTTTGCCGGCTTGCTGTCAGCTTGCTGTTATAGTTCTGAACTACTCAATGAAGCACATGTGGGGGAATCCTGATCCCTCGAGGGCCGCTATCCAGCAAGTTTTAATTGTTAGACTGCTTCAACTCACCTGATATTAATCAGGTGATTAACAGGCTGCAGCAGAGCTTAATGATCTCCTTAAAAGGTGAACCAACCACTGAATTAGGTGTGTTATATCAAAGAAACAACTAAAACATGCAGGATACCGGCCCTAAAGGACCAGGGTTCCCCACCCCTGCATTAAAGGAAGTAAAACGCCACAGTTGACTCATTAACTCATTCACTGCCATTGATGACTAAAGTCGTCATTTGCATTTTTTTACCGTTTGGGCATCAGAACGAGCCCCCACGCTGAGAGAACAAACATCTCAGCTCTGAAGCCGATCTTTATCCGCATACATCACACGTCACATGATCAGGAAGCAGAACATCCATGTGTTAGGAGATCGTTTTGGGCCGTTCCTGTATAAAAAAAGTGAGGGGCGAACCGGAAAAGCGTCTGAAGATCACAATTGAACAATGGATTATGAAAGAATGGATAACACTCGAAACATGCGGATTCTTCCTGATGTAAGAGATGAGTCTCAGCTTTGTTTTAGTTGTTTTGGCGTCGACATCATCCTAGCGCGCAACGTTCTGTGACTCTTAAAAAAACAGTAAAAAGGTGAGAAACACTGGCAGCGAAGGCCTTTAGCGATCAGGAAACGGCTGGCAGTGAATGAGTTAATTACTTCTCACAGACATTTCACAGTTATATTTAGTTGCTGGTAATTGAAAAAATAGATTCACATATTTTTAGAGCTGACTATTTGCTTCTAATTCATTGTTGCTATTGTTAACTCAACATTAGCTTCCAGCCTTCTTCACTTGATAGAGTAAAACAAAAATATACCATGGCTACTTAGGGGTACTAGGAATAACTTCTGGGTCACTCCTATTTACTGGCTTTGGTTCTTTAAACAACTCTGGAGCTTTTTTGGTGTGCTGGTGTCAAATTACAAATACTGACGCAGCAGCGCCTGCCAGCGTAGACTTGGCAACCCTGTGGTATCACAGATTAAAGACCACATCACTCTTTAGCCATTTTGAAGGAGGAAAACTGACAACCGTTCCAGGCTGAGAAAGAAATCTGTTTCTATGTAACGTTCCTTTCAACATGATTGAGACATTAGATTGCTTTGAGGTTATTTCACTTTAGAGTTCTTACATATTGCTCCTTTAAATCGTGATGTTCAGGTTACTGAAGAACTTTGGAACAAAGTGAAGTTAAAAAGGTGTTTTTCTGTTGTTTCCAGACAGAACGAAGCCCACAGCCTCCACAGTGGACTACGATTGCCATGACAAAAAGTTAAACTGCATCTGAATTTCTGCTTCCTGTTTGTCTGGAGTTTCCACAGTTTTTTTTCCTGATTTTTTTTTTTTGTTGCGAGCTGCTTTAGGATTAAAGATAAATATTATAATAAATGTGTCTTCCTCCTTTTCTCCAGCTGAATCTCTGATGTGTTCTCTCTTTTTTTAACTCTAACTCACCCTTTTTGTTCCATTGCCTGTTTGTTTGCGGAAACATTAAACCAGCTGCTGATCTCAGATCTGCTCTGTGTGTGTCTGATTTCACACATTAACGTGTACATCGTTTACTTTACAAACGTTAATGATTATTTTTGAAAGAAAATGAGGGATGACTGGTCAACGATTGTACACAAGAAACGGCTAATAAAGTTTGAATTGTCAGAAACTCCTTGAGTCTTTCTGTTTTTCCGTGTTCAGCATGTTTCTGTCAATTAGCCTATTTGTTGTTTCTCTATATATTCTTAAAGATATTTGCTAGTAACCATGATATCTGAGTCATTTATTTGTCATTTTGTAGGGGGCCAGTAACATTTTGAAAATAAATTATGTTAAGACAGATAAGAAGAAAATGTTTTAGCTAATTAGAAATATATTTAAATAATTTACTACTATACATAACACAATAATACTGTCTTTAGGACTTTTTTGTTTAGTTTTTTAAAGTAAATCATGTCCCAGAATTATTATTATTATAAAAATGTAACATTTTAGCAAGAATTTTTAACTATTAATATTATTCATGAAATTTAAGAAAATTTAAAAATCCCTCAAATGGAATTTTATAATTATAGGAGAACATTTTTCTTATAATTTGAATTTAAATTATATTCTTTCAGTACAAATATAAAAGTAATCCTCAGTTTCTCAAGTGACCTGACTTTTAGATGTCCACTGATGCTGCAACTGCTAATAATGAATTGAATAAACACTTATTGTTGCTTTTTTATTATATTTTTTGCTAGATTTTTGCACAAAAAAACAACAACATATTTTTAATGAAAATTAAAAAATGTGTTCAATAACTCAAAACAAAGATTTTTTTTAAATAAAGCCATTCTTGTCTAACAAGTCTGATTTTTAGGCGTAAACCTTGTAATGAAGGGGTTTCTTTAAATAGACATCCATCTATTTGAGCTTATACAGTAAACCCCGGATTTGTTCCTTATTGAGAAAGATCTGGTCAGACTGGATTCCTGATGTTTAAGTTTTCCAACAGCTGCTGCTCATCTACATTCTTCCACATCGCACCCTGAGAAGCATAACGTCAATAACTCTGGTTATGACGGAGCAGGAAATCCACACATGTTTGAATTTGTATCAAACGTATTTCTTCATTAATGTTTCAGCTTTTTATTAATAATTTTATTTGTTGTATTAACATCTGATTTCTTGTGTTGCACCCAAAATTGTCCTTTTAATCAGCATATCACACTTTAATAGTTGTGATGTGATCAGAGCAGATAACCTGGTGAAGAATACAGGTGTGCCTGAATGGGAGGAGTCAGGTTACCTGGTGTCACGAGTCGACGATGTGGAAGACCGACTCCTGAGATGGAGAAGATGAAGTTTCTGTAAATGAAAGCTGGCCAGCAGGTCTGCAGAGGTTAACTGAGTCACAAACACTCGCTCTAAGAAAAGAGGTCAGGGGGGCACTTCCTGCCAGATAAAGGGCATTTGTTTCTAATCTAACACCCCCCACCCCAGATTGGTTAATGGGGTCACAACAGGCCTGTAGCAGGAGGAAAGTCAGTGAAGCCTGATAAAAAAAAAGATGTGTGAGTCTGTGTATGATGTGAAATAAAGCTCTGTTCATGTGAGTTTCACACCAAAAAACACAGGAGGATATCTGTGAGAAGAGCTTTACCTTTACCTGAGAAATGAATAGAAGAACATCGAGTTCTAGTTAGTCCTATTGTCAGGATGCTTAATCTTAAAATCGGGTGTGGCTAAAACACACATTTCCATTTATGAGAAGACATGTTCAGTTTTTCATAAAAAAATTTCCCAGAAACATGAATTTTATTTCAGTTTTGGAGAACCACCCAGGTCTTGTGGCCATCCATCCCACAGCTCTTGTTTTCAGGCAGACATCAGGATCAAAGGTCCAGGTGAGCTCCAGTCATTCAGAACCAAGCTGGACCAGACTGCTATACCTAAAAGTGCCCCTAATTCCTCTTCTGGAGTCGATCCCGGAGTTCGGTCCGGCTCAGCTGGGTTCTGATTTCAGGACATTCTGCAGCAGATTGATCCAAACTCATGTTCTGCCCTGATTCCCACAGACTGCAGGAAGGTCAGTTTAAAATAACAGAAGCGCGGGTTTCCAAGTTGTCTGGTACTTTTGTTTGAATTCTACGACCAAATCACATCTCACTACTTGTTTCTAATCCGGGATTCACTGTTTAATTCAAAAAATATATGAAAATGACAAACAGAAGTTTATTATGAAAGCTTTTTGTTTTATTTGAAAAATGATTTTGTTTTATTTCATGTTTTTGGTTTTGTCCAGAGGAGAATATAAAAAGTCAAGTTAAAGGAGAAAACAGAAGGCAGAGGGAGGGAGGGGGGAGCTGCAGGAGTCCGTGGATGTAGTTCCAAGGAATGTTGGCAGCCTTTTCCCGGCAGCTCTCTATCACTTTAATAAAGCTTCCTTTCTATATGTCCTCTAAGCCTGAGCACACACAGAAACAAAGAGCTGCAGCTCTGAGGGTTCACCGAGGCAAAAGCTTGAAACAAGCCGGCCTTTTTTTTCCTTCAGGAAACTGAATCTGCTTCATGTTCATTTGGGAACAAAATGTATCTGATTCCCAGCCTTATGTAATGTGTAATTATTAGATCCTGTTTGGCGAAAAACTGATGTTTTTGACTATTTTAAATAAAATAAAAAACACAAATATGTTGATTTGATTTGTGTTTCGGTTTTCTGACGGTTTTGAAATGATCACTAGTTCTAATTCTACCTCTAACCAGAGAAGTGAAGGTGGCTAACAAAGGAGCTAATAGTTGATAATTTTCCATTTACTTTGAGAGTCTAGAACCAAAACAAAATTAACTTAAAGTGACGGTGTGTATTTTCCCTGGCAATAGGGGGCAGTACATACATAAATCATTGCAAGCAAGCGATATTTTTGTGTTTGAGTAACACCTTACCAACAATTAGCCATTAGGGTCAGAAATCCCTGAGAGCGCAATTTTCGAAAGAGTGTCGGTAGTTTGTCAAATCGTTCAACCTCCAGCTAAATGACAAGCACACATGGACGTAGTTATTTGGGGGGGGGATTACCCCCCCACACACACACACACACACACACACACACACACACACAAACACACACACACACTTACATTTTTCAAAGTAAATTTTTGTCCCCTGGGTGTTGACGAAGACTTCCAGCTACTTGTTCAGACGGCAGGGTAATCATACAGATTGTTGGCCAGCTCTGCCGTTTCCGACAACCTTAACCCATTCACTGTCAGCCGTTTCCTGATCAGAAAAGCCCTTCGTTGCCAGCGTTTTTCAGAGTTTTCAGTTTTTTTAAGAGTCACAGCGCTAGGATGATGTCAACGCCAAAACTACCAAAACAAAGTGGAGACTCACCTCTTACATCAGGAAGAATACGCGCGTTTCGAGCATTATCCGTTCCTTCATAATCCGTTGTCGAATTGTGATTGGTAGAAACTTTTCTGGTTCGCGCCTAATTTTTTTTTACAGCAGCGGCCCAAAACAATCTCCTAACACATGGACTTCTGCTTCCTGATCACGTGACGTGTGACGAGCGCAGATGAAGATCGGCTTTAGAGCTGGGATGTTTGTTCTCACAGTGCGGGGGCTCGTTCCGATGCTCACACAGTAATAAAAAAAACGCAAATGACGACTTTAGCCGTCATTGGCAGTGAACTGTTGGATTTAAAATGGCAGAATGAGTTACAGCTCTAATGATGATCTCATTAGTCATCAGATAATCCTTTTTTTTTTTTTGGTGTGTTACGACTACTCTGGTTTGCTTGGAAGGATGTCTGAAAGAAAAACCCAGTCTAAATCATGCAAAGTTGATACCAAGTTGATCCTGAGCTGATGCCATCTTTGTAGTTTTTTCTGTTGCAACTCTGATTCTGAGTCCACCCAGCAAATGATGAGCACTGTGATTGGCAAGGCGCAAAAACGTTTGGGCGGATGTTAGACCTGCTGAGACTACAATGAAGCGTGACTAGACCCACCCGCAGAGCAAAATCTTTTGCTACTGTGGTTTGTCTAGATTCCTAGATTGCTCTTCAGGTTCTTTTTCCTCAAACTTTAGTAAAACACCTCACCTTTTCTCGCTAAGTAATCCCTCCATCCCAGTACATCTACCCCTTAGCTTCAGGCTTTGTTTGATACAGCTCCGTGCTCCTGCCAAATATCCCTTGTGTAAGTCTTTGCTGCCACCTTAAACCTTTTATTTTGCGTAAAAATTTCAGATTTTTCTACTTTTTACTGCTGTATAACATTAACTTGATTTATATAGACCTGTTAAATCCAAACGAACACGTTAAAACCGCTGATTTTATAAACACAATATAGGCCACCAACATATTTCCTTTGATCACAAAACCTTCCAGAATAACAGTAAATACAGCAACACTAATAGACTATATATTAATAAATAAAAGAGAAAATAAAATATCTAGCGGGTTACTCATCAACAATATTAGTGACCATCTTCCAGTATTTGCCATCATACAAAACTTGAAAAATACTGGAAATAACACAAAAATAGAAGAGCCCAAAGTGACCCGGTGCAGAACAGTGGAACACATTGGAGCATTTAAAACGGACTTAAAGAACGAATCCTGGGAAGGACTATATAAACAGCATGATCCAAGTAAAGCATTTGAAACCTTTTTAACAAAAATACTTGAATTTTACGATAAAAACTGTCCAATTAGAAAACAAAAACAACAACAAAAAAATAAGCCATGGATGACAAAGGGGCTAGAAAATGCCTGTAAAAAGAAGAATACACTATATAAACTATTCATAAAAACAAGAACAAGAGGCAGAAAACAGATACAAATCATATAAAAACAAACTAACAACTATAATTAGAACTAGTAAAAAGGAATACTATGACAAATTACTACAACTGAACAAAAATAATACCCAAGGAACATGGAAAATATTAAAAAATATTGTTAATAATAACGATAGCAAAAAAAGCCCAACTGAGGCTCTGACCAGTGAAAATGGAATTCCTATAAATTAACATGGAGAAATTGCTAACGCACTAAATGATTATTTTGTAAATATCGGGACCAATCTAGCTAATAAGATAGGAAAACCCATAGGTGAAATTGATGTTACTAAACACATAACTGCTAATATAAATACCATGATGAAAAAGAAGTAAT